CCCCCTCCCCTCCAATCTGTCACCTATCCTTTCCTGTTCTCTAACCCTGTTCTGTCATCTTCTTTCACTCTTACTATGCCATAACCCGGGTAAAATTCAAAATCACTTACTACCAAACTAAAAATACTGTAGTCAGTAGGCCTATAAAAAATAACTCCTTTTAAAAAAAATCTACCTTCGTTAACGTAAATGGAATGTGGCTGCCTAGCTTAGGGCAAGGGACCCAACGAAATAGGAACAACAGTTACATGGTGCGTACATTTGCAAAAATCAATAGCACTACAGTTTGAAGAACCAGCAGTCGACTGCCCGTGAGGTCGAGCAAGAAAAAAAAGCAAAGAAGATAGATCTAATACATGTCGTGCATGATGAACATGTAATGCAATTATAATTGTAACAAAAAGCACGAAGCGTTCAGTTCACGACAGTGTTTAGAAAGCAAGGAGGCTCTTTGGTAGAAAAGTTAGATCTACATCTGAGCTCCTCTCACGCTCCTCTTCATGAAAAGGAGAACTGAATTTTCAAATCTGTTTACCGAAAAATGGCGTCCGTGCAAAATGTTGGGGCTCCACGAGAGAAACTGGTCGCACTCGAAAAGATTGAGAAGGACATTGCCGGTGCTGTGCAAAGTGCAGGTAATCATGTCAGAAACTCAGTGCTTCTAATGCAACTGGGGGGAGAAATTTATGTTTGATATCTGATCTGTCTCTCGAGTTTTGTCGAAGCTTTGCCTCAGCTCACTGCCCGGGCCCAGTGGCCCACATGCGACTAAACTGACTAAACCTGGAGTCGCTGTGACTGTGCCCGACCGCGGCGGTGACCCCAGCGCGGCAGTTGGTCTAGTTTCGGCAATTTCTTCCCTACTACTTTTGTTTTTGTAAATTTAAAACTGCAGTGATGTTCCTTGCTCTGTTTCGTTTCTTTCTTTCCGGATCCATGACCAATCAAACCATTGCGAACATGTGGCAATTTCGAACCAGGAAGCTGAAATTTTGTCGTCGTACCAATTTTGACTTCGCTTTTTTAGTTCTCAGGTGCGTTTGCACTTTTTATCACATATTAAAAGGGTGTTTTCTTTATGATGTCTATTGTTGGTGGATAAATGGCTTCAAATGATTTTGCAACATGTCACAATTCTTGCATTTTTTATACATGTGTTGAGTCGTGAGAGAAAATGCCGTGGTAAGGGCACTATGACAATACTTTGTGCAGTAGCGCGGCAGTACTGTCGCGCTGGTTTAGGGGTCAAGAGAGTGAGAAAGAAAGAGGGGGAGACAAGTGCACTACTACATTGTTTTAAGAAAGTGGCTATTCTCACCCGCCCGGAAGTTCTCGCAAGATCTACTCCTCCCCTCTTCTCTCTCTCTCTGTCTCTT